GCAGAGGGATGGGTGTTGAGTGCAGTGGGTAGTGGGAGTCCACAGTGCTGGACTGTGATGAGGGAGGAGTGGAATGCTGCAGGTAGAGAGTGGAGCCAGAAGGTTGATAACAGTATGTTGTTGGTGGTGGGGGTGCATGGGAAAGAGTTTTGATACGGCGGCTGCAGGGGAGGACGGGCAAGGAGCTGCTCGGATTGAAGAGCTAGCATCACCTGGAGCATGTCCACTTGGTGCTCCATAACATTTAAGAGCCACTCCATGGCTCCTTTCTGGCGTGCCGCGTTCTCCTTTCGGTCCCTCTTCTTGCTGTCCCTCCACTCCTTCAATTCCTGTTTCTCGGCGGCGGAGTGCATCATAACCTCATGGAGAAAATCCCCCTTAGTTCTTCTTGGCCACTTTCTAATTCTGCACAGCCGTTCTGCCGCTGATAACAAAGAGGAAGGCTGGGCTCCCAAGATCATCTCTGTGAAGTTTAAATGCAACATTTTACAGAAGCAGTATTGTTTGTAACTCAGACAAAACTGATTCAGTGCTTTAAAACACAGCCAGTTCTCACACACCTGTCACTAACTGACTGACCCCAGGCAAACACACATGAGCCACAAGACCCCCAAAATGGTGAGTAGCTGCAGGGGCAGGGTAAACCACTCTTCCTGGACCCTGCTGTACACTGGGCACATGGCTCTTGGGGAGAGCCAGCATTGTAGGGAGGGGTGGGGGTTGAGAATCATTCCTGTCCCCACACTTTCCACAGGATGTGATCATTGTGGAAGATATCTCTCTGCTGAGGTTGATGAGGAAATCAAGGGAGGGTCTTCTCCAAGCCTGTGGCTTCCGTCCTGGCCCCTATGTAGCTTGCCTGTGTGCAGCAATGGTCCCCCTGACCCTCCGTGATGGCAAAGTGGCGTGAGAAAGTTACCATTAATGGGCAAGAAACAAAGCAGCTCTGCTGAGGAACCTGTGGCAATGGATTGCCCAGTATCTCCATGAGAGTTTCCTGGATATCTCTGAGGGAGAGTCCCATGAAGTGAGAGAGTCTATCAGCAGCCTGTTCTACCACTCAGACTGGGCATGTGGTGGTAGACAAGCCTGCTTTCTGCAACCCTCCTGCCCACAACAACTCACTTCAGCAATTCCCCAAATCGGATCCACTTACCAGGGGCCTCCTCTCCTGCTTGCGCTTCGCCAAGATCTGACTGCTGTGACTGGCTAGGCTCCTCCAGGGTAGCAAAGAGTTCCTGGCTGCATGCATCTCTGGCCTCCGAGTCATCCCCTGCCTCTGGGTCCCCATCTCCCTCTTCGTCCAAGATTTCCTCCTCCTGGCTTGGCCCACTCTCGACTGGCACACGAGCCAACGAAGTATCCACAGGGGCCTTCGCAGTGGAGGTGGGGTAGCCACCGAATAGTGCGTCCAGCTCTTTGTAGAACTGGCAGCTTGTAGGCACAGCACCGGAGTGGCGGTTTGCCTCCCGCACCTTATGGTAGGTGTTCCACAGCTCCTTTACTTTTACCCTGCACTGCAATATGTCCCAGTCATGGCCCCTTTCTATTGTGCATCATGAAATCTGTCCATAGGTATCATAATTCCTATGGCTGGAGTGCAGTTGGGACTGCACAGTCTTCTCTCCCCAAATGCTGATGAGGTCTAGCAACTCGGCACTGCTCCAAGTGGGGGATCGCCTGGTGTGTGGAGCAGGCATGGCCACCCGGAAAGATGCACTGAAACCACTGCACGCACCACCGAGCAAACGGGAAGAGGATTTTCAAATTTGCAAAGGAATGTATGGGGTGGGGATGACAGTTCGTCACCTGAGGGCACTAGATAAGTTTATGGAGGATTGGTCCATCAATGGCTATTAGCCAGGAATGGCAGAAATGGTGTCCCTCGCCTCTGTTTGCCAGAAGCTGGAAATTAGCAACAGGGGATGGCTCTGTTCTGTTCATTCCCTCTGGGGCACCTGGCACTGGCCAGTGTCAGAAGACAGAATACTTGGCTAGATGGACCTTTGGTCTGACCCAGTAGGGCCATTCTTATGTTCTTATGAGGGCAGGGCAGTAGAGTTCAAACCGATGACCAGAGAGGTGAGAACAGGCATTGTGGGACACCTCCTGGAGGCCAATTGCAGCGCTGTAATTGCCGCGGTGCAGAAAGCTGTACGCCTCTCATTGGGGTGTTTTTTTTAGAGTTCTACAACTGTGCAGTTTCTGCGCACTAAGTGGCTTGGCAGTGTGTCCACCTCGGGTGTTACCGCACAGAAAGCTGTTTTACTGCCCAGGAACTTGCCAGTGTAGACAAAGCCTTAGAATATATGTGCCTTGGGGCAGCGTCATGCTGTAAAGCACCATGCATGGTTATTTAACAACCTCCACTTGTTTGTTTTTGTCTTTTTAAATGATAAGGTCTTTGGGACAGGGGCCAACTCTTTCTATATGAGTGCACAGCACCCAGAACACTTTAGGTTCTACCACAAAGTAAATAATAAATCATGGTAATAAGAGAATTTCAAACGGAAGAAATGACACAATGTTTTCCTACTGGCAGTAGTGCTGCTTTGACAGATGTCCTCTCTGTTTACATCCAGTCTCACCCAGACAAGAAATCAATAGTGAGACAAACTACACACAAGGTAGATTTTGTCACTAGCTCTGCTCTTCTCTTTGAACTCAGGGGACTCATTCTCCAGGTGCAGAGTAGCAGCCGTGTTAGTCTGTATTCGCAAAAAGAAAAGGAACTTGTTAGTCTCTAAGGTGCCACAAGTCCTCCTTTTCTTTCTCCAGGTGCAGGAGACTAAAAGCTCCCAGTGAAATCAATGGGAATTACTCATGTCTTGTCCTGCCACTTACACTGGCAATTCCAGGACTACTTCCCATTTGCTCTGCAGTCATCCCCGCCATGGGAAAGCTTTAACTTGCTTCCAGTCTCCTGTCACTTCTAAAGCAATTCAAATTCTCCAGCACAAATTCCCCATCATTCTGCTTCCACTGCAGTCATCCCTCCTCCACCAGGACCCTGCAAATGGTCGCTGCTTTTTGGCGGTGGTCACTTATTCTTTCTCTCATTGAGGCGAGCCTTCAAATTGCAGCTCTGCCTCTTGAAGCTGCATCAGCTACAGGAGTTGGATGGACCACATTCTAGCAGATCCTACTGAGAGAGTGAAGCATGTTATGGAAGTAATTAAACTGAAAGTAATATTTGATGTGATTAGTGTGAAGATGAGCATTGTGACGTGTGTGCCAACAGCCTCTGCTGAGATAATATATTATTTCCACTGTGTGTGTGTTGTGTATTCACTGCATGCTATACCCAGCTTTTTTTGAGAACTACTTTTTGTCTCAGGGATAGTGGCAGAACACCAGCACACTACAAAGTAGTCCTTAAATGTGTGACAGAAGCGTAAACAGCATGGCTGACAACATAAAGTTTTGGCTCACAGCACAGAGCCAATCAATACCTAGAACAGCTGTTCCATTTTTTCATTGTTTTCCTCTAAGAGCACGTTTTCATTTGTGTGGTAACACTGGTTGAAGGGGGTAGAGCCTTGGTTAAGGGAGAGCAACTGTGGAGAAAAGGTGCTTTTTGTACTCCCTCTATCCTGGATTGGCTATACTGTAATTTAGAGTAGCCAGGGATCAGACAGCAGAGGGTAGCTCTGAGCATAGTAGGACCTAATTGCCGCTACTTTGGCTGCCAGAAAATCCTCCTATCCAAGGGCAATCCTGCTGTAGTTGACAGTGCTGGTTTTAGGTACCGACTCTGCTCTGTGATGTGATATGTGGGCAGGGGGATGCAGCATCTGAGAATCTGGGCTAGATGTTTTAAAGATAGTTACTAGCCACTTGATGCTCCTGGATTAGTTCAGCCCTTTTAAGGGGATGCTTTTAATTTTAGTAGAGGAGAGAAGAAAACACTTCAAATTCCTTTGTGGTGGCTCAATTTTTTTTTAAAGGTAAATCTGGTTAGGAACCAAGATAACTCTCTGGGGCTCGGTAATATCCAGGAGACGAGGTGGACCTGCACAAAGCCTTCTCAGATCTGGATAGGCTTGCCCCAATCCTTCAGGAGCTTATAAAACTTCAAAAAGACTTTCTCTACCAAGAGAGGCTTGGATCAGCGTTTAGTTGAACTAGATGTGGAGGTATACAAATGGGTGTATTTCCTTGTCCAATCCTGAAATCAATTCTGCACTCCTGACCGGGCTAGAACAGGAAATACAATGCTTGACCTCCGGAGTTATGGAAAATAACTTTTCTTTCCTCTTGACTCCCTACTCTGCTTTACCTCCACTTAACTATCAAAGTGGAACATGCCCAGGATAGTCATCCCTGATGTCATGAACCACGGAATTTTGTTTGGACAATGTCAATATTGCGCAGGTTAAGCGGTGCTGTGATAGTTTATACAGTGGTGGTGACCTATCCGCCCTCATCCTCCAAGGAAATCCACGCAACACTTTCAAAAGCTGAGCCTGGGATCTTAAATTCATAACTCTGCTAGATGCCCAAAATAATGGACTGAACAAAGACAGTGGATTTATGGTTTATTCCAAAAATCTATAACCCACTAATCCCTTCCCTTTGCTGCTTCCCTTCCCCCTTTCCTCCCTATGACCAGAGGGTATGAATAGGCTGTTGCATCTTGAATGGTTCCTTGAAATATGTAACTACTTGTGCTAAACAATCTGTTCCACGTTGTATTTATCTGGTTTCAGAGTAACAGCCGTGTTAGTCTGAATTCGCAAAAAGAAAAGGAGTACTTGTGGTACCTTAGAGACTAACCAATTTATTTGAGCATAAGCTTTCGTGAGCTACAGCTCACTTCATCGGATGCATACTGTGGAAAGTGTAGGTCTTTTTATATACACAATAAGCATGAAAAAATACCTCCTCCCACCCCACTCTCCTGCTGGTAATAGCTTATCTAAAGTGATCACTCTCCTTACAATGTGTATGATAATCAAGTTAGGCCATTTCCAGCACAAATCCAGGTTTTCTCACCCGCCCCCCCACCACACACACAAACCCACTCTCCTGCTGGCAATAGCCCATCCAAAGTGATCACTCTCCTCACAATGTGCATGATAATCAAGGTGGGCCATTTCCAGCACAAATCCAGGGTTTAACAAGAATGTCTGGGGGGGGGAGGGGGTATAGGAAAAAACAAGGGGAAATAGGTTACCTTGCATAATTACTTAGCCACTCCCAGTCTCTATTCAAGCCTAAGTTAATTGTATCCAATTTGCAAATGAATTCCAATTCAACAGTTTCTCGCTGGAGTCTGGATTTGAAGTTTTTTTGTTGTAATATAGCAACTTTCATGTCTGTAATCGCGTGACCAGAGAGATTGAAGTGTTCTCCGACTGGTTAATGAATGTTATAATTCTTGACATCTGATTTGTGTCCATTTATTCTTTTACGTAGAGACTGTCCAGTTTGGCCAATGTACATGGCAGAGGGGCATTGCTGGCACATGATGGCATATATCACATTGGTGGATGTGCAGGTGAACGAGCCTCTGATAGTGTGGCTGATGTTATTAGGCCCTGTGATGGTGTCCCCTGAATAGATATGTGGGCACAGTTGGCAACGGGCTTTGTTGCAAGGATAGGTTCCTGGGTTAGTGGTTCTGTTGTGTGGTATGTGGTTGCTGGTGAGTATTTGCTTCAGGTTGGGGGGCTGTCTGTAGGCAAGGACTGGCCTGTCTCCCAAGATTTGTGAGAGTGATGGGTCATCCTTCAGGATAGGTTGTAGATCCTTAATAATGCGTTGGAGGGGTTTTTGTTGGGGACTGAAGGTGACGGCTAGTGGCGTTCTGTTATTTTCTTTGTTAGGCCTGTCCTGTAGTAGGTGACTTCTGGGAACTCTTCTGGCTCTATCAATCTGTTTCTTCACTTCCGCAGATGGGTACTGTAGTTGTAAGAATGCTTGATAGAGATCTTATAGGTGTTTGTCTCTGTCTGAGGGGTTGGAGGAAATGCGGTTGTATCGCAGAGCTTGGCTGTAGACAATGGATCGTGTGGTGTGGTCAGGGTGAAAGCTGGAGGCATGTAGGTAGGAATAGCGGTCAGTAGGTTTCCTGTATAGGGTGGTGTTTATGTGACCATCGTTTATTAGCACTGTGGTGTCCAGGAAGTGGATCTCTTGTGTGGACTGGACCAGGCTGAGGTTGATGGTGGGATGGAAATTGTTGAAATCATGGTGGAATTCCTCAAGGGCTTCTTTTCCATGGGTCCAGATGATGAAGATGTGATCAATATAACGCAAGTAGAGTAGGGGCGTTAGGGGACGAGAGCTGAGGAAGCGTTGTTCTAAGTCAGCCATAAAAATGTTGGCATACTGTGGGGCCATGCAGGTACCCATAGCAGTGCCGCTGATCTGAAGGTATACATTGTCCCCAAATGTAAAATAGTTATGGGTAACGACAAAGTCACAAAGTTCAGCCACCAGGTTAGCCGTGACATTATCGGGGATAGTGTTCTTGATGGCTTGTAGTCCATCTTTGAGTGGAATGTTGGTGTAGAGGGCTTCTACATCCATAGTGGCCAGGATGGTGTTTTCAGGAAGATCACTGATGGATTGTAGTTTCCTCAGGAAGTCAGTGGTGTCTCGAAGGTAGCTGGGAGTGCTGGTAGCGTAGGGCCTGAGGAGGGAGTCTACATAGCCAGACAATCCTGCCTTCCTATAGAAGTATTTAGTCAGCCATTCAATGAACAGGATATGGCAAGGGATGAGCATAATTTGAATGAGCTAATTGATATTGCATAAGAGAACTCCATCACTTACTGATTCAACCCCCAGGATTTTAATACTTTAGTTAATTACTTTATGGGCTGATGGCAAATGTAACCACCTGTGTGAATTTTATGATTTGTGGGCTACAATAATTCATATCTTTATTACTAGGTTCTTTTTGAAATATCTAAGGTAAACGGTTTCTCCTCCTCAAATCCTCTGTTTTGCTTTAATAGAAATGTATTTGTGAGATAGCACAGCTAGTCTTTGAACATGGCAACAAAAGACTTGCTGCAGCTTTTCAGTCTGACATTCAGTACCACAAAATATTTTCTCGTCCTCATTTATTTTTAAATATACTTAAAACAAAAACAAAAAAATCTCAATTAGGCTGAGATTTCAATACCCTTAATACCTTAGGGCTATATAGTCCTCTCTGCTAAGAGAATTCAAAAGGAGCAGATGCTAGTGGACCTATATGACTCTGATGCTTGCTTCCTCCGCCCCTCAGGATGCCCCTTTGCCCCACGTCAGTGGCAATGTGGGCCCAGAGCGTGGGAGAGGGAGTTCCTGGCACAGGGCCAAAGAAGCCTTTGCCTTCAGTAGCATGCTCCTTTCAGAGCCCAGTGTCTATCTGAACAGCAAGCCATGTGGGAGTTAGTTACTCCAAGGAACTCTAACTCCATCCCTGCATGTGAGCGATTTCCCTGCCCATCCCGGGAGAGAAGAGCCAACAGCAGCAACACTGTATGTGCATGTGAAACAGCTACTGCTGCACTGTTGCCACTGTGGCACTATATGGGACTGCGGCTTTTGTTCCCTACAGATCCATATCCTTTGCTGTGGGTCCCCCAAAGACAGCCTTCTAGAGGAGACTCTCAAAGTTCACCTATGACTGTTCTGACATCCTCTGTCCCTTGGGTTTAATTCCAAGAGAGCGGGAAATCCTTAAGCAGCTAGCTGGTGCTACACCTTCAGGAAGGCTCACTTCTCACACTGATGGCTGTTAAAAGCTTTTGTTGGCATCTAATTCTCTTCCTGTAAGAGACACATGCAAATGGCAAATTAGTTTATTCACCTGTTGACAGAATTTGTTTGGTAAAGTACTTACTGTTCCTTAAGAATGGGTATGCAATTTAATAGGAAGTACATAACAGTATCCCTTATAAGGTACATCTATCGGCAGACTTGCATTTGAGACTGGCCACTGTGTGTACCTAGCACTGTTTGTTGGTGCATTTACTATGGCTAAGGCTTTCAAACCTGGGTGCCTAAAGTTAGACCCCTAAATCCATTCTCAGGTGTCTAAATAATAGAGGCCTGCTCTGTACCTGCAGTACCCTTTCCCTACAGTTGCATTTGTTGGTGCTTCTGAAAAATCAGGCCACTTATTTGTGTCTAACCGGATATTTGACTGATCTAATTTATACTGTCCTGTACATCCCACAAGGAGCCAAAAATGTAACCCAGGATTGGCCTGGCATCCTGCCCACATTCTCTTTCTCTTCAACACTGGCAGTAGGGAAGGGGAGAGGTGTATAAACCTCTGTACACATTTTATGGCACCCTTACACTGGGCTGAACCTCCTGGGTCCTTTGAGGCTGGGTTTATTGATAGAGTGGTATGACATAGTGATAAATGAAACGGTGGAGGGTAGCTCCCTTTTATGGACACCCAGCCAGCCAGTAGCGATAAAATCCCTCTTAGTAGCTGTTCTCTAATTGCTCTACCTGTAAAGGGTTAAAAAGTCTCACTGCTATGCATAGGTAAAAGGAAGTGAGTGGGCACCTGGCCAAAAGAGCCAATGGTAAGGCTAGAACTTTTAAAAATTGAACAAAGACTCCCCTTTTGTCTGTCTTTTGTTGGTCTCCTGGGGTGAGCTGGACAGGGCAGCAGCTATGCCGTAAGAAGCTTGGGGCCAGGTATGAAAAAATCATCAGTATCAAACCTAGAAACTACTCATTTAAAACCCCAGATATGTAAGTAGATCAGGAAATGTCTAGGAAGACATGATTAGGTTTATCCCTTTTATTTTGTTATGGCTTGTGGATTCCCCTGTGCTAACCCCAGGTGCTTTTGTTTTGCTTGTAACCTTTAAGCTCGACCTCAAGAAAGCTATTCTTGGTGCTTAATCCTTGTAATTGCTCTTTTAAAATCTAGCAATAGCCTGAGTTCCCAGATGTATTTTCTTTCTTTTTTTTAAATAAAATTTACCTTTTTTAAGAACAGAATTAGATTTTTGTGTCTGAAGAGGTTTGTGCACATGTTGTTTAATTAGCTGGTTTCCTTTTTTTGGGTCTTTCTCAGCTGGAGGGGGTGTGAAAGAGATTGGGCGTATCCCACAGGAAGGAATTCCCAAGTGCGCCTTCCTGGGCTCTCAAAGGGTTCTGCACTTGGTGATGGCAGCATTTACCCAGCCAAGGTCAGAGAAAAGCTGTAACCTTGGGAGTTTAATACAAGCCCAGAGTAGCCAGTATAAATTTTTAGAATCCTTGCAGGCCCCCCACCTTCCGCACTTGAAGTGCCAGAGTGGGGAATTAGCCTTGACAGACATAAAGCAGCTTCTTAAGAGTCAGGGTAGTGTCTACTTCTGGATGTCATACACAAATGTGGGTGCATGTGAATGGAATTGGATAGCAACAGTAAAATAGTGTCTAGGTAATGGATGTAGGAGTCACTGGTAAGAACCAAGCTAAAGGGTACTGTGACCATTTATGAGATTAGGTTAATCTCTCATCTAAATGGCATACAGTATTTCTTTATAATTTTCTTCTCTCTTGTTTTAACAGCAGCAGTTTGTGCAAATTTTTTTTTTAAATCGCTGTTTATTAGATGACTTGTAAAACAAGTGTTTCCCTTCTTTAAAACCCCCCTGGCTTTTGTACAGCATTTGTGATGTGACATTTCCTGCTCCATCTACTTTTTATGAAGATGACATAAAATAACTTCAAAAACACTCTTCACATCTGGGCAGAAACTATTTTCTACCATTCTCTCTAGTAACATTGTGATTGATGGAGAAGGGAGCCTGCGGCACCCATCCCAGATGGGTCACAAAGCACAAGGCTGTGACAAAGAGAAAGGACTCAAAACTGAAGTGAAATCTAAGCTGGACACAGGTCCACATACTACTTTTTCCATCTTTAGAAAACTGCAGACATCTGGGATGTGGCAAAGTTAGTTGTTCTCATGATATTCCATAAGGAAACCAGCCCATTAGTTCTGCTTCAGTTATTACAGGGTACAGTGCCACTGATCAGGCATTAAAGGGAAGGCAAGTTTCAGTAGGGCAATCCATGTGATAAACTCAAAATACACTTTGCACAATATCTGTAGGAAAGAAGCAGCATGTGGGTGCTTTATTTGAACTATTGAGAAATGCTGGTCAATTCTGCTCAGTCTGTCAGAACCACCCAAACCTGAAATTGCTCATGTTTGCACATGAGATCATATTATTTTAACTGTGTATAGGGCTTCTGCTGGTTTGGGTTTATAAATTTAATTTTTCAGAGTTTATTTTTGGCTTCATGTAGACATCAAACAATCTTGAGTTTTTCCAAGGCTCTCTCTATATATACTGTAATGAATACTGTTCCCTTGTGTGCTTTAACATAGTACCAACTCAACTGTCATTATATTAAAGCACACTAGGAACCTTTAGACCCTGCTCATGAGCAGTACATGGGCTAATTAACACGCAACTCTGGGTGCTTTAGAAGTCACACCACCATTACATTACTGCTCAGTGTAGACAAGCCTTTAGATACAAGTACCCATTGCCAGTGTTTTCTGGTGTTTACTCAATAAATACCAATTTCTCTTTTTTGGATCTGGGTGTTTTATCAGTTAAGATCGACAATCAGAAGTCCTAACTCTGTCACAATTAACATTTTAAAGTCAGCTGAAGGAGGGGGGTTGGCTCATTGAAAGTGTTTGGAAAATGTTTTGTTTATATTGCAATGTTTTATCAATTTTGACCTGTCCAAAAAAATACTACAATTAGTGTGGGCACACTTGTTGGCAATCTCACTGCAGATGCAATGACTGCATGGTCAAAGAGCCAAAATTGTTCATTTAGGCCTCAAAGTGGTCTCTGTCAGTGCTGAGGCACGTGGGCAGGGGACTGTAAGAGAGCAAGTACTGTTACTGATGGATTACTTAATTTCTAGTTATGTTACCACAGTGTATTCCACAGGCACTAAATACACTTTAATACAGCCTAGCAAAATTGTACTAGCTCACAGGAGAGGGAATGCTCCTCCTTCCTCCCTACCCCCAATAAATAATTGCATGACTAAAACAGCTTAGTTTTTTCTTCATTATTCTGTTAAAAGGTGTAGTAGTAGAGTTTGGGCTGGGGTTTGAAAGTTTCCATGAACATTGTTGCAAAAATACTTTAATCCCCTCCTCTACCAATAATATAAATTCAAAGGTCTCAGAAGCTTACAGCTGCATCAAATTACTACTCTAGTGATTCCATCTGAAAATCTGCTGTATCCTTTCACTCTGCCTCATTTTTAGTGATCTGTTAGCAATGTATAAATATTTGTAGTTTTCCCCTAATCTTGGGGTGTTTGGCAGACTAGCACTATGGGTAGCTACTTACAAGCTGTGCCATCTATTTTATGGATTCTTCATTTAAATCCTGTACCTAATTTAATTCCTGCAGGAAACAGATCTGTTACAAGTAAAATTCCCAAAATCAGAAGCAGCTTATTATAAGCTAGCTGATCCACAGCCCCTAAAATACTTAAGGAGCTGTCTGAAAAGATCTCTTGGGCATTAGCAGTTATCCTTGAGAATTCATGGCGGATGTGAGATCCCAAAAGATGGAAAAAGGGTAAATATAGTACCTATCTATAAAGAGGGGAATATAGACAACCCAGGGAATTATAGACTAGTCCGCTTAACTTCAGTACCCAGAAAGATAATGGTGCAAACAATCAATTTGTAAGCACCTAGAAGGTAAGGTGATAAGTAATATTCAACATGAATTTGTCAAGAACAAATCATGTCAAACCAACCTAATATCCTGCTTTGACAGGACAGCAAGTCTTGTAGATTTGGGGGGGAGGGAGAGGAGAACAGTAGATGTGATATCTTGACTTTAGTCAGGCTTTAGATACTGTCTCACAAGACCTTCTCAAAAGCAATCTAGGGAAATCTAGCCTAGCCAAACCTACTGTAAGGTTGGTGAACGACTGTTTGGAAAATCATACTCTGAGTAAGTTATTAAAATAGTTCACAGTCAAAGTGAAGGGCATATCAAGTGGGGTCCTGCAAGAGATCTGTCCTGGGTACTGTTCTAATTAATATTTTCATAAATGATTTGGATAATGGCACAGAGAATATAAAGTTTGCAGCTGATACCAAGATGGGAGGGGTTGCAAGTGCTTTAGAGGACAGGATCAGAATGATCTTGACAAACTGGAGACATAGTCTGAAATAAAAGGATGAAGTTCAATAAGGACAAATGCAAAGTACTGTACCTAAGAAGAAATAATCAACTGCACAAATACAAAATTGGAAGTAAGTGGGGGTTGTAGTAGATCTCAAATTAAATGTGTGTCAACAATGTAATACTGTTGCAAAAAAGTGAACATCATTCTGGGATGTAGGAGCAGGAGTGTTGTAAGCAAGACACCAGACATAATTCTTCCACTCTACTCAGCATTGATAAGGCCTCAACTGGAATACTGTGTCCAGTTATGGGCACCACACTTTGGGAAGAATGTGGACTAATTGGAGAAAGTCCAGAGGAGAGCAAAAAAATTATTCAGTATCTAGAAAACATGACCTACAAGGAAAGATTGAAAAAATTGGGTTTGTTTAGGCTGGAGAAGAGAAGACTGAGGGGGAACATACATCTTTAAGTACGTAAAAGGTTATAAAAAGGAGGGTGATAAATTGTTCTCCCTATCCACTAAGGACAGGGCAAGAAGTAATGGGCCTAAATTGCAACAAGGGGGGTTTAGTTTAGACATTAGCAAAAACGTTCTAAGTGTAAGCGTAGTTAAGCACTGGAACAAATTACCTAGGGAGGTTGTGGAATCTCTGTGATGGGAGGTTTAAGAACAGGTTAGACAAACACTGGTCAGGGATAGCCTACTTAGTCCTGTCTCAGTATATGGGACTAAACCAGATGACCTAATGAAGTTCCTTCCAGTCCTATATTTCTATGAAAGTCAACAGTTCAGTCATAACGTAGTTCTAATACCTAGTTCTAAATTAGTGGCTTTTGCGTATTTAGCCTATTTCAATTTACTTCTAGAAATTCATAATTCAACATGAAGTTGCCACACATTCACTTAATAATTCAGGTGACCTCCCCCCAAAAAAGGTCTAAATGATGCTTTAGGAATGACAGAACAAATGACATGGCTGCCATTTTGTATCCTCCAGTAAGAGGGTCGAAAGGTTAGTGCAATGATAATCCTTAAAGTCCCCATACATATCGGAATGATGACCAGGAGAGGAGTATTACCCACAGTTTAAACTCATACAAGCAGAGATTAGAAGACTATGTTCTGTTTAGTGCTTTGTCACAGACTTTCTAGGTCTTCGGATGTCTCAATTGTGGTGGCTCAGTTTCCCCATATGTAAAATAGGGAATAATACTTAACCCACCTCAGCAGAAATGCTGTGCAATCGGTAGCTGTAAAAGCAGAAACAGATCCTGGAGGGCAGCCAAGGCTGGAAAAATTAATGAAGGCTGGCATAAAAGTTGGAGGAAAAGATAACACGGAAGAGGACTATGATAAAAATGCAGTTCAACTGTTAAAAATTGAGGCAACATAGGTGCTAAAGTTGTATTTTGCTTTTTCACATTACAACAGGACAAAACCATTGGTGCTTAGTTATTAGAGGCTGTAGAAATCCTGAGGCAAGATGCCAGTTTTTAGTCTCTTCTCTTTAAAGATCAGCTGTTGAACTCTTTACTTGGAGTGGGACCTTGCTCGTTTGAGCTTTTTTTTTTTTTATTGAAGTTGATGCTTTACACCTTACAGAGGAAGATGTCCTACAACATCCATGCAGAACTTTCAATACTCAGTTAAAATTAAAGGTGCAAGACAATATTTTAATCTTTAAAAGTTTATCCATCTCTTATATACACACAGATATACACAAAGTGGTTCATGAGTCCATCCATCTAATATATATATATATTTTTCTGCTGGAAAGGTTGGCTGGCGAGTATCTCTTGGCTTTCTATGAATCTGATTCACAGACTGGATTATTCTTTTAACTGGGCACTGAAAGGAGCCCATTTTCATCCGCTGTATCCAAGATCTTACAGATGACTGGAGATTCCACCTGAACAAAAACAACGACCCCCCCGCACCAAATGTTAGGTACTTTGAAACACAATATTGTCAAGTGTTTACAAAAGAAAATGCATAAGAAAGTAACTTGGGCATACTGTCTGACTTAAGCATCACTGTTTTTATAACTCTTTGGGACAGTTATTTGTATTTGTGAAATCTGTACGTGCAGTTATTTATTTATAGTAATGAAATCAAAGTAGCTTTACTCTCCCAAAACAAATGCAGATTGACACGATTCGCTTAGCACCAATTATGTATTCAGTGCAAGAGTTCACAAAAGGAGTCTGCCTTCAAGAACTTAACGTCTGAGATCCATACAAGACAGAACACGCTGAAATCCACTGGTAGGAATGACTTTTTGAAAGTTACTTACTAACTTGTGAGTGAGTTAAAGAGTTGGCTAAAGAGAGGGTGATAGCTTGATAGGAGATCTGGTAATAGCAAAATTCTACGTTTCTCCTGAGCATGTAGCATCTGACTCCATATTTGAAACATCTAGAATGCAGAGCATTCCATTCTGGGATCAGAAGGTTCTAAAAAGCTTTAGTACTTTTAGTTCACGGCTCAAGTGGTGATCTATGCAGGTCTGAAAACAGTTACAGGCAACTACCATAACTCACCCTCCCTTCTCTTAAGAAAGACAGGGCAAGTGTGTGAGACATTCTATACCTTGGGGGAGCATCCTATAACCCCCACATTCCTCATTTGTATAGAATTGTTATACAGAATTTATATTGCTTTGCATATAAAGCAGGCCATGTGAAGTATCAGGGGAAAGGTTATGATCTGGTGAAATATGTAAAATATCTAAATATGTATATCATTAATGCATATGAAGTTATGAGAATGTGTTGTATGGTTGTCACTAAAATATGCTGTGGGTTTGGGAGGCGCCCAGATACTAGCTCTCCAGAGACAATGACAAGGGAGGTAAACAACACCCGGGTGGGTGCTGTTGTACAGACATCACCAGCCATTGTCCAGCAGAGGAGCTACAATTCAATGACTCACCAGCATAAAGCCACACCAGGGGAATTGCTCAACCTTGCCTGGGGACTCAGCAATGCCCACCAGACATGCCTGGACTTGTGGTCTCCAAGAACATGGGACTGAGGGTATAAAACAGAACACAGGGGCCCTATGGTTGGCCTTTCTCCTGACCCAACAAAGACACTCAGAAGAAGATTGAAGACTCCAACAGAGGAAACTGGCCAGGTTTAAGGGACAAATCTGTATATTAAGGACTGCAATATCCAGTGGGGTGAGAAAAACTGCTTAATCTAGATGTTGCCCAGTCTAACTGGGTTGAGAGTTTAGACTGCGTGCTTATATTTTCATTTCTTTTGGTAACTAACTCTTTTTGCCTATCCCTTATAATAACTTAAAATCTATCTTTTGTAGTCATTAAATTTGTTTAACTGTTTATCTTTACCAGTGAGTTTGCCTGAAGTGTTTGGTAAGGGTGCTTGCTCAGGTTTACAAAGGCTGGTGTGTATTCATTTTCCATTGATGAAGTGGTGAACCAATTAATAAATTTGCACTGCTCAGCTTGAGCAGTGCAAGATGGTATAGTCCTGCGGTACCAGGCTGGGAGCTGAGGGGATTTAGCTGGTGCCTTTCTCTGTGTGATGCATGAGTGGCTGTGGAAACATTCATGCAATCTAGCTGGGCCTGGGGCTCTACACGCGGTTGTACTGAGTGATAACAGCACCTGGAGTGGTTTGCTGCTTGTCACTAGCAAAGTGTTGTGAGAGACAGCCCAGGCTGGAGCGTTAAGGAGGCACAATGGTCCCACAGTCCCATGCTGCACCCCAAGGGTCCTGTCACAGTGTGAATTAGTGTACTTGCAATTGCTCTCAAAACTAAACTGAATATGTAGCTCCAAGGTCTTTTTATCAGGTTGAACTTAAAACTGAAAACCCTAAGAATAACTGATAGTGTCAGCACAGTTCAGACTGATATTACTTAACAGCTCCACTGCTATTAGAACAGTGGTTCCCAAACGATTTATGTCGTGCCCCCACTTACCCATAATGTAATCTGTCCACACACCCCTGGGAGCCGGGACCACAGCTGGGGCTGGGAGCGGGGCCGTGGTCAGGGGCTGAGGACAGGGCCTTGGCTGGGAGCCGGAGGCAGAGCAGGGCTGGGTGGCGCTCCCTCTCTCCTCCTGTGGGGGCTGGCTCGGGCTCCGCTATGCCTGCTGAACATTCCTCAGCACCCCACCCCCAAGGGGCGCTCCACTGTATTAGAAGTACTCTGCTTGTTTAGTGGGGTTCACAAAACTAGTGGCTACTGGCTCTCTGATCTATATAACACTAAAACACCTGAATATAAATCTAATTAAGACTATGTTACTTCAGAGGTTCCTTTTTAAAGATGCTTGGCTGCTTTGCAATTAAAAGCCAGTCACAATTTACTGGATTTAAGAACTCTTGTAGGATTCTGAGTAAATTCACTTTGCCCAATTAGAGATGTTTCAGCAACCACAGCATACACAAAAAGAAAAGGAGGACTTGTGGCACCTTAGAGACTAACCCATTTATCTCGAAGGTGCCACAAGTCCTCCTTTTCTTTTTGCGAATACAGACTAACACGGCTGTTCCTCTGAAACAGCATACACAAATGATTTAAAATTTGAAAAAGTTTTTGTTGATGTGCAACAGGAGGATCACGATCTAGAATTTGGACAAATGTAGGCATGGTCACAATGGATCACGTATTCTGTCCAGATACTATAAGAGGTTATTTCCAGTTCATTAAGAAATTGAGATTTGTTACAATTGCTTAAAAATAGATTATTTTAGAGAAAATTCTAGATGATTGAGTTATTGTAATTTAATTTTCATTTTAAATAATAATTTGAGCACCAACTCTGATGCTCTTGTACTCTGATGTTAGAATTCAGCTATATAGAGATACACTTAAAATGTCCTAAGGGAGCTAGATCTCCATCTCTAATTTTAGGCTATCTTCCATCATACCAAAGAGTGCACTCATTCAACCAGAATGAGTCTAACTGGTATTTTCAGAAAAACAATATTGAGCCATATTTGTCAGGGGCCTGATCAAATCAAATCAGTTTTTATTTAGAGGCTGGAAGCATGAAAATCCGACTAGCTTAATAATATGCTGAATGCCTCACACAGCAAATGAAAAAGTAACTGAGATGTAGTTTTTTCCAGGCTTAATATGTTTACGATTTAGAACTATTTTTTCTTCTGAATGCATTATTGAAGGTTACCTACAATGTATTAAAATAAGATCAGTTTAAGAGCTCAAGCTATTATGTGCAGACACCACCTTTACAAATACACACATTTTGTTTTCAAATATCTGAAAATCTGGTCCTGTGCTTACCAACTATGACATAAGTTAGGGTTCTATGTTTCACTGCAATGGCTGACTATATCACTAATCCTACAACAGCAACAAGGAACAAAAAGCACAGATTTCCGGAGTGCTTCCAGTAGTAGTGGTGGAGTCATCAACCTATGCAGCAGAAACTCTGGTTTTGTTAAGTAAAAATCTGTTTAGTGTAGCTTTAAATCTCTGGCAGATGCAAGTTAAAAAGGCCATGTCAAAACTGAACATGCATAATTTCTCTAACTGAAGTCTTGCACCTTGAGAAATCCCATTAGCTAGGCAGGGACTGTGGGCTGAGTGAATTCAAGCGTATATATTTACATACCCCGAGAATGTATTGACAGGAGTGAGGCTCCAGCATGTATACTGTTACAGCATGAGGGGAATCAGATTCTTTACACCTAAAAACAGGAATGATTTGAGTAAGTCTTCTAAAAAGCACAGAACTCTAGTAGTGGGTAAAGAGACAAAAACGTATGACTAAATGGTTTAGTTAAGAATGTAACTTACTTCAACTTCACAATCACCTGCCTTGGTTTGTCAGTTAAGTCACAAACATCTCCATTACCATAGAAATGAGATACCACTCTGCCAGAAAGGTTTGAAATTAGACAAGAATTTGAACACTCCGACAACATTATCACCTTAAATGCCAAAAGCAAGCTGTAAGTTGAGTAATCAGACCTTTCAAACACTCCCGCCCCCTCAAATGCAAGAAACTTAAATATACATGAGGAAACAGAAAACGGGAAGAAAACACTGACAAGTTACATTTAATTTGTCTACTTCTATAGAAGCAGATACAACTGTGATTAACAATACTATTCTCCTGCATCACACCCAAGAGGCAGATGTTGAATTATAAATAGCTTCTTTTGTATTTTAAGTGAAATGAGTGTTTTATTCAACATACTCCGATAGTTTAGTGTATTGATTAGACTATAATTTACATGGCCCTGCAGTTTGGACTGTGGGGGTGTGAACTGCAGTGTTCAGTAGCCTGCTGTGCTGTAGCTTCCCTGGGTGGACACCTAGGTTTGT